ATATATACAAAAGTAGAGAAGCTTGGAGGAAAATTTTCCCTCCAAAACTACCTTAAATACATTGACATACATTTTATCAGTTTCTGTGCATGATTTGTTAATTAGGGATGATAGGATTTGAACCCGTGACTTTTTGTACCAAAAAATAAAACAAAAATAGTTGTTACATAAAAATAGTTAATTTATATTCATTATTGTATTGGAATTTGCACTCAATTTCTCTTGGCTAAATAAATGATTCAACTATACATATATTACAATGAAATAAGTATTGTTAATTTCTATGTATTATTTACCATTCAAATAATATCATAATTTCTTTGTTACAAATAAATACTTATTTTAGCCATAATCAATTATTGTAAATATGCATTACAAATTTCTATTAAATATATGATAAAATTGAGTCAAATTTAAATTTTATTTAATTTTTTACTAATATCACGTTTATATCCAATCACACCTTATATACAATCCTCGCTCGAGTAAATATAAAAATGTACTAACAAAAATGATCCAACTGATTTCAAATAAAATCGCTTTTTTGTCTATGCTCCAAATTTATTTCGTCATTAAAAATGAAAAAAATAAATGAAAAATATTTTTCTCTCTTTAAAACGCGTCTCCCCACGCCCACCCATTCGCCGCTCCTCTCTCTCTCACTCACCCGTCACTCTATCTTTCACAAACGAACACACGGCGGCGCAGTCAATCTCCGGTGAAGAGTAATAATCTTGGAGAAAATCACAGTCAGTCGATTCACTTTTACTCCATTTCTCAGTTAATTTATTCTTCTTGTACAGAAATTATCATTTTTTTTTCTTTGTTTCCTGAGTACGGTGTTCCTGATCTAGGGTTTAGTTGCGCGATCTCTTCTTGTTGAGGGATTGGCAGAAGGGGCGGAGAATGGCGAATCACTACGGAGCTCAGGTCACCGCGAATCAGGTAAAATCAAACACTCGATCCCATCATTTTGCGCGCTTCTCATTTTTCTGTGCTTGCATTTTCATTGTAACTTAGTTCCTCAAACTTGGTATTGATTTTTGGATTATTAGGTTGGTTCGTACTTTGTTCAGCAGTACTATCAGGTGTTCCAACAGCAGCGGGATTATGTGCATCAGTTTTACAATGAGTCGAGCACCATGCTTAGAGTTGATGGAGAAATCAGCCATTCAGTTTCTGATATGGTGGTAATGTCATGTTTTACCCTCTTGATTATTGAATGCTTGCATATTCTCTTGAGTTGAGATGGGATTAGTCCTGAATCTTGGTCTCTTCGGAGTTCAGATATGTGACGACAATTTCATATGATTTGATGTGCTTGTTGTAAATGGAGTTAAATTTGTCCATTGCAAATGGAGCTAGAAGAGTCATTGTTGACAATTCTCCTGACATAGTGCTAAGGACTAGATCAAATGGCTCAATTAAATTCTAGTGCTTCTTCTATTAGTGAAGTTTCCAGAAAAAAAATATATCAAACAACGCAATGCACCTTGGGTCGCTATGGAAACAGCCTCCTTGTATAATTACAAGGGTAAGGTCTGCGTACAACTGACCCCCTAGACCCCTAGACCCCAACCAGTTGGGAATATACTGGGTATGTTGTTGTTGTTGTAAATGGAGTTAAATGATACATCTATGATTCATTTCCATGATTCTTGGTTCTATGACATTTTTAATGTGTTTTGGGGACTGATGAACCTGTAAGTTAGCTATTGTGAAATCATTTGTCCATATAATTGTGTGTGTTTGTAAATGGGAAAAGGAGCTCTTTGAATGCTTTGCATACCGTGCTATGTTAATTAGGTACTGCGGATCTAATTAAACGATATGTTTAGGTCAAATCAAACTTTTTATAAGATGGATAAAGTACCATGACTCAGGTTGATACCTGATTCTTCTCTTTTGAGTCATATGAATATGATTTGATGTTTAACTATTCACCGTGAGCACCTTTAAGAGGTAGATTGTGTTTCTTATTATTTAGTGTTATCGATTATTTTTGGATGATAACTTTCTTTTAATTCTGAACTTTAAGAGATTTTGTCTGTTAAGAATATGCTCCCTAGTTGTTCATAAGTTTATCAATATCTGTTGAGTTTGTATTTTTGTTGAATGATGGAAACCAGACAAGTCTGAAGTCCCTAAATGCTTTCGCTTGTGAATGAATAGAAGGCCAAAAAAGTGATCTATTTCTATTATTTATTTACAAATTGACTCCTGATTATTCTTACTGCCTTTTGAATTTGACCGGATAATTTATAGAATTCATAAAATCAGGTTTCTGATTGGTTGTGCATGCATTCATGTCTTTCGTGATGCAGAAAATTCATCAACTGCTCATGTCACTAAATTTCACTGGTATTGAGATCAAGACAATTAATTCACTTGAATCATGGAATGGTGGTGTTCTTGTGGTGGTTACTGGTTCCGTCAAGTCGATAGATTTCAATTATTGGAGGACGTTCATGCAGACCTTTTTCCTTGCTCCACAAGAGAAAGGTTATTTTGTTCTGAATGATATGTTTCATTTTGCTGATAACGAAGTGGCACACCAATCTTCTGCACAAGTACCAAAACAGGAAAATAATGTTGATTATCACCCGGCAGTTTCTACTCATCATCCTGATCAAGCAGGTACCAATGATTGATTCGTTATCATTTTTGTTTGTTATGGGCACTCAAGGTTTTCCTGTAGAGCTAAATGTAATAATCGCATGTACGGGCGTAAGGAGACTAATGAAACAGACACCTTTGGTGCTGTTGATCATCTATATCATGTTGATAAATCTCGTTCACATTAAAATGAATCATATTTCCCACCAATTTTAATCACTGCATTATTTTTTATTCAAATTCTTGGTTGACATGTTTGTCTAATATTGGTTTGACTTATCCAACCAATCCATAGAAATTTTACAAACAATAATGTAGATATTTCTGCCACATCTAACTCATAGCCAGCGTATTATCAAATAGATTTCATTTTTCAACATGATTTCAAACTTCCAAGCTAAACTTTAGTTGGAGGGTATTTTTTCATTTAATTGGAATATTGTGTCAATATC